TAAACAATATATTGTCAACGATTATGAGAAAAATAAACAGTATATATACACAGTACAATGGCATATTAAGTATTCCCTCTATGTGCTAGCTAGAAAAATTCCTTAATTAGAATGATATTATTGTCGAATATAATATTTATAGAACATTTAGAGGGTATATAAAAGTTAGGGTATGCCTACTATGACATACATGTCACGGTGACATGCACTTTTCGGTCGACCTATTCCTGAGGCCCGTCGAGCGAATTGACCAATTTGGGCAGCACGAGAAAGCGTTGCGCTCGACCGCCACGACCACCCGGTCGACCGCATTTAGTTTAAGTTGGTATTTTTGGTCGACCAGAATAAAACCTCGGTCGGCCATTTCGTTGGCGTCAGAAACAACATGGTCGGCCACCTAATATATAGGTCGACCACTTGATGGCAGTCATTAACAAAATGGTCGACCGGATAAGGAAAGAGGTCGACCAGATAGAAGATAAGTGTTCTATCAAAGTGTCCAATCATTTGACGTAAAATGGAGATCAAGTGTTGGTTTCTCGGTCGACCTAATCCGGTATGAGGTCGACCGAATACAAGAAAGTCAACCTATGCCCCGTGTCTTTTTTGCTTATGTATGTCGATTTGTGTGGTTAATTTAATCCTATAAATTATGTTTCAAACCATCATAATTAGTCAATTATAACAAGGACTCATCAATCCATAGCATAACAACTAAAAATAAAACACACATAAAAATAGCATAATTGTTCACACATAAAAATAAAACTAAAAAACCATCATAGCATAATTGTTCACACATAAAAATAAAACTAAAAAAATAACATAAAAATAAAACTAAAAAAATAAAACTAAAAACTACTCATCTCCCCCCTCTCCCTCATCCACATTTTCTTCATTTTCTTCATTGGTGGTGGTAGCATGGTGGTCGGATGTGGTGGGATGCATGTATCTTCCGCTGAAAGATCGCCACCACTCATCTCGCATCTCATTCACGGTCAGCTGCATTGTGCTCATCTGGGCGGTCATTTGCCCCATATAGTCGTACATGCCAGTCATCTGGGTGGACATCTGGCCCATGTACTCGTACATGCCATCCATGCGCTCCCACACACGCTGTAAGGTGATCGGTGGAGTTGAAGTCTGTGCCTCCCCCATTGGCTCGTCTCGAGCTCCTTGATCACCATCATCACCATCATCATCCTCATCATCATCATCATCATCACCACCACCACCATGAGCAATGTTTGCTCTGACATACTCACCATTACGCAGTTCAAAGCCCATCTTTTTCAAAGATGAAACAGTATAGAACTCCTGCCTTGAGATCGTTAACCCCACCTCTTCACTTAAATTCACATTAAAATGCTCAAATATCACAGTGAGGATCATCCCATAGGGAAGATTCCTGTTTGAACTCTCTGCAGCAGTAAGCATGTGGTTAAAGATCAAGTATGGCAAGTTCACCTTCTCGTTTAACAGTAGGTTGGTGAGGAGCTCCATGTCGAAGTAGGTGACTGTCTCCCGATGTCCACCCTTTGGCAGAATGTTGTAGGAAAGCATGTGGTGAAGAACTCTGGCTTGAACTGTCAGGTGGTTACTCGATGGCCTATTGCACCCCTGAGCATCTTCCTCTTCATCAAGACCACATACCGTCTGGATTTGCTTGGCTCTCGTGTAATGCGTTTCATTCCAAGCACCGTAAGAATTGATTCTCCTCCCCTCGTTTGGAGCCTCCAGTACTTGCGCCAACACATTCTTGCTGATGCGCATCGCCACCCCATTCACATAGGATTTGAATGCGTGAATGGATCCATTTGTATTGCGCTCGTAGGAGATGATGTTGTAGAAGTATTGTACCATTTTTGGTTAGTATGGTACATTGAGTGATATCACCTTCAACCACTCCTGCTCGACGAAGGGTCCCAGAAACCCGTAATTCTCGAAATGAGAATACACATCCGTCGTCAATGGCCTTCCCGGAGCCACCCTGCGGTTGTGCATGCTCTTCTCTTCGTAGTTCTCACTTTGCTCCTTCGTCTGGAACAGATTCGAATTGAACTCTTCCCATTCCGAACTTGAGGCAGCAGTTTTTTGTGCCTTTCTTTTCTTTCTGCCGCCAAACATCCTGCGATCAAACAAGCAAGAATACACATTAGTCCAATTTTCGAAATGAACAATACGCGGTCGACCACTCCATAAAGCGGTCGACCACAATTAATTTAAAACGACAATGGGTCGACCTCAGAAGAAACACAGGTCGACCTCAGTTAGTTTAAAATGAGAACAGGTCGACCTCAGAAGAAGCATAGGTCGACCTCAGCTAATTTAAAACGAGAATGGGTCGATATAAACCCGTAACAATTCAAGTACAAAATTGCTTTCATAGGTCGACCTCAGAACCATCATAGGTCGACCTCGGTTAATTAAAACGAGTATAAAATGGCCCAAATGATGGTACCAATTGAGTGCAAAACAGATCCGGTCGACCTCATAATTAGAAGAGGTCGACCAGTGGTAGTTTCGCACAAATTGAAAGACAATGGGACAATAACTCGCACTTTTGCCTTCATAGGTCGACCTCCGAACCATCATAGGTCGACCTCGGCTTAATTAAAACGAGTATAAAATGGCCCAAATGATGGTACCAATTGAGTGCAAAACAGATCCGGTCGACCTCGTAATTAGAAGAGGTCGACCAGTGGTAGTTTCGCACAAATTGAAAGACAATGGGACAATAACTCGCACTTTTGCCTTCATAGGTCGACCTCAGAACCATAATAGGTCGACCTCGGCTAAATTAAAACGAGTATAAATGGCCCAAATGATGGTACCAATTGAGTGCAAAACAGATCCGGTCGACCTCATAATTAGAAGAGGTCGACCAGTGGTAGTTTCGCACAAATTGAAAGACAATGGGACAATAACTCGCACTTTTGCCTTCATAGGTCGACCTCAGAACCATCATAGGTCGACCTCGGCTAAATTAAAACGAGTATAAAATGGCCCAAATGATGGTACCAATTGAGTGCAAAACAGATCCGGTCGACCTCATAATTAGAAGAGGTCGACCAGTGGTAGTTTCGCACAAATTGAAAGACAATGGGACAATAACTCGCACTTTTGCCTTCATAGGTCGACCTCAGAACCATCATAGGTCGACCCCGGCTAAATTAAAACGAGTATAAATGGCCCAAATGATGGTACCAATTGAGTGCAAAACAGATCCGGTCGACCTCATAATTAGAAGAGGTCGACCAGTGGTAGTTTCGCACAAATTGAAAGACAATGGGACAATAACTCGCACTTTTGCCTTCATAGGTCGACCTCAGAACCATCATAGGTCGACCTCGGCTAAATTAAAACGTGTATAAAATGGCCCAAATGATGGTACCAATTGAGTGCAAAACAGATCCGGTCGACCTCATAATCTGAAGAGGTCGACCTCAGTCTATAAAACAAAAGGAAATGGCGATTGAAAGCCAGATGCGGTCGACCACGAATATGAGAAGGTCGACCGCACCTGGCGTACAAAAGGGAAAATCCCTCTTTTTCAAGCTACAGATCTACATAACAAGGCCAGAAATAGTAGAAAGACATTACAGGTCGACCTCAATATCATCATAGGTCGACCTCAGTCCATAAAACAGAAGGAAAAGCGGAATGAAAGCCAGATGCGGTCGACCACGAATATGAGAACGTCTAAATTTAACCACATACAACCATTAACAAGCATATACGAGGCATACCTTAGCAACGAGGTCGACCACTTATTGTTACGGTCTACCGGAATAATAATAAACCGCCTCCAACACCCGATCACAATAAGAGCGATAAGATTATAACTTCACTCCAACAAATTGTAATATTTCGTGGTATGATTAATGTCTGAAGACTCCCATCTATTTATAGATAATTTAGACGAATTCCTTATCCAATTGGTTCAAGATATATAAAATCATAATTCGACAAGGACAAGTACACAAAATCCTAATTGTACAAGGATAGGAATCATCACGGTCGACCTCTTTGCACAAATGGTCGACCGTCTTGGGTAAATGTGAAACAGGTCGACCTCTTTACACAAATGGCCGACCGTTGTTTTTAAATGTGAAACAGGTCGACCTCTTTACTGAAATGGTCGACCATTGATTATTAATGTGAGCACAGGTCGACCTCTTGACAAGAATGGTCGACCGTACTTTTATTATGGCCAAACAGACGAGAATCCATACTTATTTTACATGGTTTTTGACTTTCCTACGGTATCATAGGTCGACCTTAAGCTTCAAGAGGTCGACCTGTGCTCTGCCTTTGGGTATGCACGCTTTGAGTATGTGGTCGACCACTTGTTCTAGACGATTGAAATCGTAAATTCAGTCACATCCATAATTGTATAACAAATCTAATAAACGATAAACATTCAAAATCCAAAATGACACGATCTCGCAAATACAAATTAAATGTATGGTCCAAATAATGCAACATTGTAACTTAACGACTTCATTTCTTTGCTTTTTTCTTTGAACTCTGTCTCTCTTTGCCTCGTTCCATGCATTCATCTACTACATGCTTGAAAAGATTTTCTCGTGCACGGTTTTCAAAATGTGTAGCCAGATACCATAGAATCTCCTTTCGAGCCGGTAATTTGTGTTCTTCTCCTATCTGCATTATGCCATGTAAGATTTCGTTACAACTAAAAAAAGTGTAAATTATACTAGTTATTTGTTTGATGATATACTCACCACTCTATCAAGATTCTTGGATCCATAGCGCATCCACTGCATGACGTGCACACCACACTCAGTACTATTCCTTTGTCGTTGAACTGGTAGCTCAGCAAAATTGAAATCTCCAAAATTTGGTACTACTACATTGCTCGTGCGCTCTGGTTTCAAAATATCATCCAAAGTGGACAACTACACACAAATAACGAATATTTTAAGCTTCTAGCATACTACGTAACGCTTAGTAGTCAGAAAATTATAGGAAACACTTACCAATTTCTTGCATAGTTCTGATTTACGCCTACGATTCGCCTCACTAGTTGAAGGTAGACTGTCAAGCAAAAATGCAGTTTTTTGCTGGACATTGACGAGATACAGAAACCAATGACGTGCTTCATCGTCAAGAACTAGCATAAATATCTAGCAACGAAACACTCACTATATGTTATAAACAGCGAATACAAACAAATGCACTTTCGAAATTTAATTATATAGGGACATTGACTAGACTAACCTTCTGGCATGCACTGACATTCGGCATAAAGTCCACGCCATCATGCATCAACTTGTTACGAATTTGTCTGGTCTTCATGTTAGCGCGTACCATTTTCTGCACCATGTTTTAGTTGAGATGAATTGACATGGTACAATATAAATAACTAGGTTATGACAAATAATTTGACATTACGACTCTTACCGAAAACATATTTGGCAAATACCACACATTTGGCTCTTTCACATCATGTTTTTCAGACATTGTTAGTGCCCTTGCACACAAATCCACTACCTACCATCCAACAATCAAACACAAAATCATCGTAAATCGTAACATAAATAGTGCACAATTCATACGAAAGTCGTAGTAGTATAGTACTTACTGATGAGCAAACCCAGCTTTTCTCGCTAATGACCGAACTCAAATAATGTCGTTGCACGTTTTCAGAAAAAAAGTCCACAACGTTCAAACTGCAAAAATCAAGATAACAGAAATGTCAATTGTTTTTTTGCAACGTACAGGTCGACCTGTACACAGTCACGGTCGACCTTATTGGACAAACGGTCGACCACACGTACTAAAAAAAACGTCTTACTTGTCCCAATTCTTGTCCCCAACCTTCTCTTTAGTAACAACATAATACAAGTCTTCAACTGGATTTTGAAGATTTTTGGTGAAACCTTCTAGACCCTCCACTTTCATGACCTACAAATCATAGTTAAAATTAAAGTAACATATGAACACAAACACACATTATAGATGAATATGTAACGTAAACTTACCCCGTGCTTTTCGAAAGGACTCTTAGATTCATCTTCATCGCTATCATCACTAAATAATCACTTTCTTACAAATTGATCCTTCTGTGGAGTGGTGTAGGAGTCACTTTCATATCGAGGTCTCTTGTAATTAGGAGAGGAACCCTTGCGGCCATTCTTTGTTTCACTCTGTCAAACATATAAACAAAACAGATTAGCACTAATGATAGTAATACTAATATCTTCAATCACATATGAATATACTTTGATACCTTTAAAATGTGCTCTTTCAATAAATCGTCTATGCTCTGGTAGCAATTTTCAGAGTCATCATGGTCTTCCTCCTCTTTACCAAAGTCAAATTTCTTTCCTTTACCATTTCTTCCGCCATTCTCCATTCGTTCTGCACTTATATCTTTGATAGCACCTTCTAGCATCTCAAACCCGTCATGCATCATCCCAGTCATATCTGTCAGTCGAACTGACAATTGCTCGACTTGTGTTTGACACACCACCAGCTTCTCTTGTGTGGCTTTCAACAATTTCATGATTTCACCCAAACTTGATGCAGTTTCTCATCATGCGTCATCGTCTAAACAATTTAAAGAAAAATTATAATCATAATTCAAGTACATATTTCTACAATTGACCAAAAAACAAAGACGTGGTCTACCTGACAAAGTATTAGGTCGACCTGGAAGACAAATAGTGACTACCACAACTCGTCAGGTCGACCTCTGTTATTCCTAGGTCGACCTATCCAGCAGGAAAATAACAATTAACAACAAAAAGTAAGTTCAAAATTAAACCGAAAATAGGATAGGTCGACCAGATATCTGGCGCGGTCGACCTTTCAAGCACAACAGAGTCATACAAACAAAGCCAAAGTCGACATTCAGGTTGAATAACCAAAAAAACATAAACGGTCGACCTTGAAACCCATTAGGTCGACCAATTGGGTTACCTCGCAAGTACAGAAGTCCAAGTGTTGTGGCCTAAATTCAAATACGAAGAATTGTCTCGTCAGGTCGACCTGGTTGACGTCGCGGTCGACCGAATTGAATTCTGCACCCAACAATATATCAAGTTAGCCGGTGGCAATCACGCATTAAAAAAGAAGACGGCGAATGCTACATTAGGTCGACTTCACCTTAGACCTGGTCGACCACTTCCAACACGTACAACAGCAACCGCGAACGATCTTCTTCACAAAGGCTCTAAGTCGGAAAAAAACCTAATTTAGACTTGGTGGCGTTGAAGGGGACTTATATTCGTATTTATAGAGATTTAGGACGTGAATGGGTCGACCCAATTCGTTTCCTTGTCCAATTGTGGAACCTTTCTGGTGTTGGAATCCATATCCAATACGGATACGGTGTAAAAGCGGTCGACCTCTTCATAATGAGGTCGACCTGTTAGGTGCACAAGGATCGGCCTATGAGATATTTGGGTCGACCTGTCCTTCTGTTAGACCACCAAAGCGGTCGACCTTATTATGTAAGAGGTCGACCGCTTCTCGGAACCCCACATACATGATTTAGTCCATTCGGTCGACCGCATATTGGATTCGGTCGACCGAAAAGTCCATGTCACGGTGACATGCATGTCACCGTAGCAAAATCCTAAAAGTTATCAGGACCACACGTCTTGACAGTCTATACCGAAGACTAATAAGATTTGTGAAGCACAGAGCTCAAAGGTTAATTTATCTATTATCTTATCATTTCTGTAAAAATTAGTAGATTCACCATCATTACCATTAATTAATAAACGAAAATAATCATCATGAATGGGCCCGGTTTGCTCATATGTTTGTTTCGACAAGACGACTTCCTTTGAAAACATCATGAAATTGGTCACATAATTTATTCACCATCATCCTTATGTGTAATTAATAATGTACAAGATTCAATTTTCTTTATTTCTCCAATTAATCATAAACAAAAAGATCATCTTACATCCTTAAACAAAAAGATCATCTTGATCCTTCGCATCATATATAGTAGTGAAGTTACTTCGAGGAATAGTTTGTAAAACAGTAGGAACAAGTTATGTGATGGTATTTCAGTGCTATGACAGTAATTAGCTTATAGCATCTCATTGCAAAACTATTGTTATATAAAATAATATTCCCAAATAATATTATATCATTGTAATACTATGAAATATAAATTGGTATGATCACAGATTTCCGATTTAACTAAGAAAAATTGACTAATATGTTATTTTCATAATTATTTGTGTAACATATCAGTCTTAATAACACGAGATGACTTTTACGATTTTTTTTTTTCCGGTAATTATCTCATCTCATTAAGCTCACTTGATCAAAATCAAGTCGCACAAAAACTTAGATGTACATCCTACTAACAAAGCAGCACAAAACTCAAATTTGAAGATGTAAACTGCCTATCACTCGACTACGCATCAAGGCCTCCCGAAATCTCAGGTCCCCATGCGCCAAAAACAAGACTTCTTCCCTCATTTGCAGAAGAACAATCTCCCAAATTCTTGGACTTCCCCCAAACACACGCTTACAGCGTTCTTTCCATACCAAGCTACAAATCCAGCACCATATCGCACTTAACACTGGCCCATCTCTACTATTCCTAGCCAGCAGACACATCTCCTGCAACAACTGCTCCCAACTAGTCCCCCAACCAGTCAACAAAGAACCAAACACTGTCCTCATCAAGTAACCAGTGTACTCACATCTACAGAATAAATGACAATGGCTCTCCTCCTCATTTTCACAAAGCACACAAGCAGCATCTGTAATCTTCCCCCACTGCTTCAGTTTATCCCGGGTCACAATACGTTTCAGTATAATGAGCCACATTAAAACTCTATTGCGAGGTAAAGTATACTTACCCCAAATTACCTTCCACCAAGGAACAACAGGCTTCTGCACTCTGATAGATTCCCAGACTTGCTGGATCGAGAATTTTTTCATAATCCTTCCTTCCCAGAAAACCTCATGCTGCAAATTAGACTCCATTCTGTACTGGTACCATCCTCGCATTTTCAATAACTGTTTCCACAACCATGAGCCAGACATAGTAGGCTGTAATTCCCAAATAGAATGGGTTTTCAGCCTATACTTGCTCACCCATGCTACCCAAAAGCTCCCCCCCTGCACAAACAACAGCCACAGGAGACGAGCAATACAAGCCACATTCCACGTCCTCAAATCTCTTAGCCCCATACCCCCTTCTTTCTTTGGGGTAGCCAGTATTTCCCATGCCACTTTTGCCTTACCCGTCCCTTCTCCATGCCATAAGAAATCAGAACATATCTTCTGAATGCTTACAATGATAGATTTAGGCAGCACAAAAATAGCCATCCAATACTGACATAAAGAATAAAGCACAGAAGAAATCAACTGCAGACGGCCTGCATACGACAGCTTACTAGCCCTCCATGCTCGGATCCTGCTTGTCAATCTATCCACCAGAACAGCACATTCTTTACTTGTCAATTTCCTAGAAGTCAGAGGCACCCCAAGATACCTAACAGGCAGATTTCCCTCTGCAAAGCCAGTAGCTAGGATCGCATTTTCCTTATACTGTATAGCTTGTCCCCCAAAAAAGACCTCACACTTCTGTGGATTACACTTCAGACCAGACAACCAGTAAAAATCATCTAAAAGACTTTTGACTTGTAGTAAAGCCCTCATCGATCCCTCAGTAAAAATAAGCAAATCATCTGCGAAGCATAGATGTGTTAACCTTAGCTCCTTACACTGAGGATGATAAGGCAACTTACCCTCAATTGCTGCAGCATCCAACATCCCTGTCAACGGTTCTAGAGCAATTGTAAACAAATATGGGGAGATTGGATCCCCTTGTCTAACCCCTTTCTGAGCAGCAAAATGTCCAAACAGAGAGCCAAACAAACTGATAATAAAAAATGCAGTACCTAAGCAAGCTTTAATCCAACCAGTGAAAGTCTCAGGGAAATTCATCGCCTCCATAACCATAAACAAGTAATCCCAATCAACGGAGTCAAATGCTTTCTGTAAATCAATCTTAACTGCACTACGAGAAGCCAACTTCCGATTATGATATCTCTGAACCATTTCCTGAGCCATCAGGATGTTATCAATTATACTTCTTCCCTTTATAAAAGCAGACTGATTGATGCTAATGACACTAGGAAGTACTTGCTGAATCCTATTAGCCAAAACCTTCGCTATGATCTTGTAGAAGATGTTAATACAAGCAATAGGTCGAAAAGCAGTCAATCTATCCGCATTCAAAGTCTTAGGAGCTAGGGTGAGAGAAGCTGTATTCATACCTCGAGGCAACTCATTTGTATAGAAAAATTCTCGGATCCCAGCTGTCACATCTGAACCAATTGTATCCCAACTCTTCTGATAAAAGCTAACAGACCACCCATCAGGACCAGAAGCTTTATTAGGGTCCATGGAAAATAATGCTGCCCGAACCTCAGTCTCA